TCTCTCTCTCTCTCTCTCTCTCTCTCTCTCTCTCTCAGATTCTCACATTTAAAATTATTGCTTTTTTTGAAATCAATTTTATTTTCAAATGTATTTCATTAAAGTTTCACTCACTTAGCTATTGCTTTTTATGGCATAATATAAAGAGAAAATGAATTTTAAACAAAGTTTCTTTCAACGGTTTAATCGATAATTCCATAGTAACTCATAATCAAATAATTTAATCCTATTTTAAAAATCTTGATCAACAGATCAACAATATTAGCTACTAATTTTTTATGGCATCATTAAAATTAGACTCATTCTTTATAAATTTATCCTAATTTCTATCGATCCATGCATATGTCGGAATCAGATAATAACTTCTAGAGAGTCACATAACCTGAAGATTAGGCTTATTCTTTACCGACTGAAGATTAGGCTCATTCTTCATAGACTTATTCTAAATTTTTAAATTAATAAAAACAAAATTCGTTTCAAATACTCCTTCTCTTTGATTTCATCATTTTTCTCTATCACATCCATTTCATACATCTCTTTTTCTTTTTTTAAATAGTCACTGTCCACTACAAGGACTGGTCAGATTACTGTTTTTACATAATATACTATGCTATCAGAAGCACTGTATTTTTAAAATATCGTTGTGCTTGTAAATAAAATGATTGTAAATTTGTAATCTATACATATTGATGTATATGCACTTTATCGATTAATTTTTTTTTTTTGATGAATTAAAGAAATTTAAAAAATAGAATATGTTAAATAAAGAAATTTAGAAAAAAAAAATTTTTTTACTAATACGTACACATCACAAAATGATTGATAGATTAATTCGATTTAAATATTCGACAACTTCTTATATTTTATTCAAATTTTTTTGTTTTATTTTTTTATTAAGTTTTAGTATTTTGTTTTAATTAGAAAATTTTTCAATACAAAATTCTTTCATCAATTAGACCACATAGAATAAATATAGGGAATTCTGTTCTACTTTCAGTATCAATTTTCAGACAAAACAAAACATTCGAAATCAAAATCTCCAGCAGTACCTGTGCCAGGTACTTGGAATGGTCCTGATTATCATGAAATGAATATTAGCCATAACAAACGATTGCAACGGTTTGCTTTTATTTTTTTCTCCCCTTCTATTATACTCGAATTTAAAATTCATCTCAGAAGTTCTGTTGTTAGTCTTTCCAATGTTTATCATTTTTAGGCTATCGAAGATTGTTCGAAGAAAATTTCAGGCACGAAACATGCAGCAATGAGAAAGTGCTTGGGGTCATCATCATGAAGTACATCTCATGCACAGTACCAGCAACAACCATTTGTGCAACTAAATTAAAATCTCGTCGACCAGTCGAAATTACATTAAATTGTGCATTTCAGCCATTAATTGAAAACAACGAAAAAATTTCTTCCACTCAGAAATATTCCAGGTAAACCTTACCTGTGGTAGCACTTTTAAGTTTCATAATTTCATAAATTTCACATTATTTATACCAATAATATGCCTTCATTTCTGGTAATGTTCATCAGCAAATAAATTCGCTATCGAGTAAAAAAAAAAACTTTTAAGAATTAATTATGAAAATTTTAACATATTGCAAATTTTAGCGCTAATTTCTGATCAAATAGTAAATATTCTTCAATGAGAACGATCAAATTCTATTTACCTTTGTAATATTTCAACCAGTAATTTAAAAAAAAAAAATTCAAGTAAAACAACAAAAAAACTGCTAAAAACTTTATTTATACTTGAAAATTAAAAAAAAAGAAAAATCACTTACGTGAAGCATACAGAGCGAGGGATAGTGCTATCACGTTACATCATTTCGCTTAGTCTTGTACCCTGAAGGCTTTTTTTAAATTTGTTTTGTGAAATTTCAATCGAAATAAAGCATTGAGATTATTTTTATTTAGATTTATCAAAGTGGACAAAAAATTGTTAGCAACAACTAATGCTACGATTAAATTTGATGGATCGTTTACACCTCAAAAACGATCAACAAAAGGCATGGTTGATAAAATTATTGAAATTAAAAGGTAAGATTAGTCTTAATATTAAATTGACAACTAAATATTCATGCCAATATTTTTTAAATTTCAGAAAACATATCACATTTTCAATGGTGATAAAAGAGCCAACGATACGAACGATTACCATTCGAGAGGTGATATGCAAAAAGTCAGATGGACGAAATTCATGTCGAGCTCAGGTAAAAATAATAATAATAGATAATTGCTAGGTTGATCGTTTCTTTTGCCATATTTATTAATAAATGCATTAATCAGTTTAATAAATTTAAAAAATGAAATTAAATTACATGGAAATGTATATACAATTGTAGTATTAATGCCTTTTGAAAATAACAACAGACTATTTCTATTTAAATTTATCAAAAAAAATTTTTGCTATTATATTTTTGTGGAAAATATTTGAGTTCATAAGCTTTGATCTGTATTCAGGTGACAGTTATCGCTTCACTTATTGCCGACGTGAACTTCTATCGATGTCTGAAACGTGTGCAAATTACACATTCTAAACGTTATCCTACGTAGGTTGTTTGCTATTTTTAAATTTTCAAATGATGTAATTTTTGAATAACAAAAAATATCTTCAAAATTTTACTCTCTCTCTCTCCCACTTTCTCACTTTATCTCATTCTTTATTTTTTTTTATGATTAGAAGCGTTTTGTCTGACCATGAAATTTTTCAAAATGAAATGTTAATCCAATTTAAAGCTGTAAACTATTCAAAGCTAACAATGGTAATTAATTTAGATCCATCGAAAACATCACTAAACAAGCATTCATTGTTGACAAGAACAATACGGTAGGTACAGTTGCTCGATCATATGAAATGTTCTTTTGTTGCTATAATAATTTAAAAAAAAAAAAAATTCTGACAACTTTGTTAGCTATTTCTGCATTCTTTCCAAAATTTTCATCGGATAATATTTGAATGCATTTCTAAAATACGAATGCATTCTCCTTTGGGAGATGAAAAAGGCTCAGCTAATTCTCGTATAATCGATTGTAGCAAAGAATTTTGGAATAAAAATTACAACAAATATACTTTTCGTTTTTGTTTCTTTCTCGAAAACTTTTAATTGTAGGAGAAAAAGAATACGAACAAAATTGATTATGTTTTCTAGAGAAATTAATGCGCTAATATGGTCGTTTATATAAATCATTTACAAAGAAAAAAATTAATGCTAATGAGTTTATTTATACTCATTTACATATTTATTGTTTAACATTATAGAAATGATATTTTAATATAATATTTTTAATGTTTTTGATTGAATGTATCATAGACATTCATTATTGCAGATATTGTCGGAAAATGACGAATTTATACTTTCGAATCATTCCTCACTTAAAAAACATGTAAATTATAAATGTAAGAAATTGAAACGTATACACAGTGAACCAGCGGAATTGGATAGTCGAGAATTATCATGTCCATTACCAGTTTCCGAGATAATGCGAGCATGCGCTGGTGAGAATCTTAATAAAACTTTAGATAATTAATTGTATGCATAAATTGTATGAAGTAATTGATTGATCTCTTCAAAAGATAGTAATGAAATAAAATGGATAAAACAAAAATTATTCAATTTTAATTGCTATTAATGATATCACTAAATTTATAATCAATGTTGTGCTATACATTTATTGATTAATTGAAATCTTGAATGATAAAGTTAAAAGTTTATACTTCAACTAAAAGTTGTTCAATAGTAAAAATTAAATTGAGCTATTGGTGATATTGTATACAGTGATGTAAAGAATTAACGCAACAATTAGTGTATAATTTCTTTTTTTTTTTTTTTTTGTAAAAATACGATATAGACAGAAGATCGAAATATCTCACATTTTATTTTTATCAATATTGTGCTTTTAAATGAAAATTTTTTAATTAAATTAGTTCCATTATTATATGAATAAGATAATATGTAAAATTACAAAAATTCATCAAATTTAGTTCGAATATTGGAACCAACATGTCAAGTACCATATATCACAGCACCAAGTCGTTCACGTTTGGGTAGCGTTGAAGTGGAAACTGTTGCAAAACCGATACGAACGTACGGCGAACAATTGTTGTCCACAAATTATCATGGAATGAAAAACTTAGCAGCTGACAGGTATCATTATTCATATTTCTTTCCTCCTTTCACATTCATCTAATTTCACATCACCCAACCATTTCAAATACATTTCAATTTTTTATCTAATTTCCTACAACTTTTTTTTTTTAAACCTAATCTGTTTTCTTAGCAAATCTTAAGGTCAACTTGCATTAGGCAATCCAAATGATGTGTAATTTTTTGTGGAGATGGCATTATATTATATTTAACACTTAAAGATGGCAGAGATATCGATTTATCTAATAAATTAAGAGTAATCTTGATACTGTAGATACGAATGGAATATTGAATTTTGAGATCAAGTAAGAAATTTTGTATAACTTTCTATATTCATAGCTTTTACTCTTCATATATTAGATAATCGTTAATAGATTCTTTGTTTATTTTTGTATCCAAGTTTAAAAATTTAAATTTCAAAAGATATAACAAAGAAAAAAAAAACATTTGCAACATTTTAGATCAGAATGTTCGACGTCATTAACGAAGCCATTTTTTGAATTTGATGTTGCAATGTCACCATTCGAACAACGATTACAAAATCAAGCATTAAAACTTCGTAAAATATCAACCTTCTCTGATGGTGATATTCCAGCTGTACAGGTTACATGAATTGCTCGTTAGTAAAAATTAGTGAATGATGAATTGGAAATGATCATCAACGAATTTTCTCTCTCTCTCTCTCTCTCCCTGTTTCTCTCGCTTTCTCTCTTTTTTTCTTTGTTCCTGTCTAAATTGAGAAGAATGGAAATGCATTCGGGAAAAAGATATGTAGTGGAAGAAAGAAGTACGAACAATGAATTGAATAAGCTAATAGAAGTTCTATTCCAATTGTGCTATATACTTACTGGACAAGTTGAATATTTTACAACAACAACAAACAACATTCGGGAAAGCATCCTTGCAATATTTTCTTGGAGCATACGTTAGAAGGTACCGCCGGCTGTCTGCACGGACCAATCTGACAGGAGAGCTATCCTTTCAGCTCACTTTAATATGTTGATGATGATGATTACGGATTCTCGAAACTTACTCCACCATTTCATCAATGATAATAGCATCTTCTCCTCATCTCTCAAATGATATGGCTTTAATCACTTTACACTTGTACTAACTATCTCTGATTAATTCGTCTTACTTTTCTTTTTTTTCTCCCCTCTACATTTCATTTCTTTTTTTCGCCATTTCTTTTATTCTCGAGAATTTTTTTGGTCTTCCACTTTTTGGTAATTTCTATGATTCATTCATCATAATTTACATATCCTTCATAGTATTGCGCCTTTTTCTCTTTTCATTCTTTTTTTTTTGGAATAAATGAAGCAAATTTCATATGATGAAGTATTCAAAAAGCAATAATTGCTTACTGTTTGCTTTGGTAACGTCACCGAGTTGTTTTGAAAATTGCAAATAGCAATCAATATTTCATTTCATCAATTACAAATTTAAAATAGATCATTGAATTGAATAAATGTTTTGTTTAAATGAGTTAAGATTGTCTGCTGTTTACATAATCTAACAATGTGCTCGCAATGCTTTGAAAATTTCAGATAGCAATCAATAAATATTTTATTTCATTAATCACAAAATTCGAAACAGATTATTGAATTGAATTGAAATTAATACTTCCTTTGCTTTTTTCTCCGTGTCTAAAATATAAAAGTACTTTTATTTATTAATGAAATATTTACTTACTCTCGTTATTCATTACAGTTAATTTTGTTGACTAATCAGATATTTGAAAAAAAAAATATTGGAAATTTTGTCATTAGAAAATAAATGACATAATCAACAATTTAATCGTAAAGCTAACTATAAAGTTCACGAGTCTATTTAAATTTATTTGAGAAATTTCACTTCTTTATAGTCAAACATCAATTTTTTTCAGTTGAAAAAAAAACAAATAAGAGAATGAAAATTTTTTGCAATTTTTTTTTTTTTTTAAATGAGAGAATTCTCAAATTGATTGTTCTGATTATTTG